TTTGTTCGTATTTTCGTTCATTTGTTCATTCACTCACTCATTCCTCATTCATTTCAGTCACTCATCACCTGCTTATAAAATGAACAAACAGAAAAAAAACCACAAATTGTCGAAATGCCAGTGCTAATGTGACAGATGTTGTTGTTGATGTTGTACTGCTAATAATAATAATAATTATTATTATTATTATTTTTTTTTAATTGTTGTTATTATTGTTCGTAATTTTCTCGATTGCATTTTATTGTAACGGTATCTTTCTCACACTTCGAGGGCAGATGTTTATTATTATTATTATTGTGATTGTTGTTGTTATTGTTATTATTTAAATATATTATTGTTATTCATTATTAATCTTATTAATATTATTATTATTTTAATTATAATTATTATTATAATTGTTATTATTCGTATTATGACCATCATTGCGAGGCCTTGGCGAAATAGCTCAGTGTGTGAATAACAATTATACTTACTGTCAACTCTGTCAAACAATTGATAACGCATACACGCACACACACACGCACACGCACAAAAACACACACACACGCGCACACAATTATACACACACACACAAATATCTACATATAGATGGAAGATGAAATGCTTAAACAAACTAAAGAACGAAAGAACGAATGAAAAAACGAATGAACGCATGCATGAATGACTGATGTTTGAATGAATGGGGTAATGAATGAATGAGCGTGCGTACGTGCGTGCGTGTGTGTGCGTATGTGTGCGTATGTGTGCGTGCGTGTGCGTGTGTGTGTGTGTGTGTGTGTGTGTGTAATTAATGATAACAATAAAAACGTCAGAGCTATTCTCATACCTGGCAAAGAATTCATTTGTAAATGTATCCTTAATTGATTTAATTGAGGAATGAGTGATTGTGTGAGGGAATGAAAGAATGAAAAAATGAATAACTGAATAAATAAAAAAATGAATAAACGAATGAATGAGCGAGTGAATGAATGAATAAATTGCTGAGTGATTGGTCAAGTAAATTATTATGTTATGTAGACATCGTCCAAATTATGAAAATATTTATCATCAGTATTATCATCGTCGTCATCATCATCTTTATCATTGTCACATTCATCCTCATCGTCATCGTCGTCGTCGTCATCATCGTCATCTTCTTCTTATTCTTCTTCCTCATCGTCATCATCATATTCATCATCGTCATTATTTTCATCATCATTATTTTCATCATCATTCACTCATCTCAATCCACATAAATATGAGCAAGAGATTAATGGACAGATGTTATTACTACTGCTTCTGAATTTATGAGAAAAAATTGAAACAACTTACATGAGAATCGTTAAATTAGGTATGTATATGTGTATGTATGTATGTATATATGTATGTATGTATGTATGTATGTATGTATGTATGTATGTATGTATGTATGTATGTATGTATGTATGTATGTATGTATGTATGTATGTATGTCAAACTATATATTATGTATGTATGTATGTATGTATGTATGTATTTTTGTTTGTTTGTTTGTATGTATGTGTGTGCGTATGTGTGTGCGTGTGTGTGTAATAGACAAATGCAGATCTGTTGTTCGACAAGTATTCTAACCATCCCAGCAGAAAGCGTGAGAAAGCAGATGCGTGTGTGTGTTTGTGTCGATGTGTGTGTGTTCGCGTGTTTGTGTGTAGCTTTTGTTTTGTATATGTTTGCGTGTGTGTAGTTTTTTTTTCTATATATGAGCGTTTAGTTTTTTTTTTTGTATTTGTTTATGTATGTATTTCTTGTTTTTGTATACGCTTGTGTGTGTGTTCGTAGCTTTTTGTTTTGTGTATGTGTGGCGTCAATTTGTGCGTGTGTTTGAGTCACATATATATTTGTGTGTGTGTGTGTTTGTGTGTGTGTTGTCACAACAACAACAACAACAACAGTAATAATAATAATTCTAAAAATAATAATAAAAATAATATTAATAACCGAAATATCCGGCCATTAAAAACAACGGAAATGCTGCAAAAACATCAAAGACACACATGTCTGCTACTTCTACGGCTACTACAACAACTACTACTGCCACTACTTCTACTACTACTACTACTACTTTTACGGCTACTGCTGCTACAACTACTACAGCCGCTACTACTACTACTACTACTGTCACTAGAGCTGTTGCTGATGTGCAACTTTTAATAACAACAACAACAACAATAATAAAATAATAATAAAAATAACAATAATAATAATGAACAACAACTACTAATACCAATAACAATAGTAATAATAAAGATGATAATAATACAAATAACAATAATAATAATAATAAAAACAACAACAACAAACGAAACCTCAAAAGATCAAAGACACACATGTGTATGTCCAGGTGTGGTCATTGGTCATCAAACGTTTTTTTGGCTCTAGGCTATGCAGTGTTTGTGGTTGTTGTTGTTTGTGGTTGTTGTTGTTTGTGGTTGTTGTTGTTTGTGGTTGTTGTGGTGAAGAAGATGATGATGATGTGGATAGTGAAGGATGTTGTTTGCTGCTGTGTTTGTTGAGTTTTTATTTTTGTTCTGCATTAATTTATTCATCCATTAACTCGTTCGTTCGTTTGTTCATTCATTCATTCATTCATTCATTCATTCATTCATTCATTCATTCATTCATTCATTCATTCATTCATTCATTCATTCATTCATTCATTCATTCATTCATTCATTCATTCATTCATTCATTCATTCATTCATTCATTCATTCATTCATTCATTCATTCATTCATTCATTCATTCATTCATTCATTCATTCATTCATTCATTCATTCATTCATTCATTCATTCATTCATTCATTCATTCATTCATTCACACAACAAACGTGATATAATACAAAGGAAAGAGGAAACCAGGCTACACATAGTCGAGTGCCTTAAAGATGAAGAAAAAATTCTTTGATGTCATTTAAAAAAATGTATGTGAATACGTACACACACATACACACACACACACACGCACGCACACACACAAACACATTCAATTAGTTATTCAATCCATCAATCTATCAATCAACTATCGAACCAATCCTGCAGCTAACAGTTCAATCAATCAACAACTCATCAGACCAAACAACAAACCAATTAAAAACCGCTATCACCACAAATTTACCATATAAACCAACTAGCAACCAAAAAACCTGTACTCTACCACTACCACATCATGACCCGACCTCTCCAAGTCTTCTGACCTTTTAACCCTCCTTGAACTCTTGACCTCGGGGCAACACGTGTTGGATGTTTTTTGATGGTGACTTGACTTACGCAGGCTTATGACACCTTTATTATGTGAATATCTCATCGGCGATGTTATTATTAAGCATCAAAGTATCGTTATGTCTGCCGGACTTTTCGTCGTTCCGTTTCGTTTCATTCTTAGCAAAGATACAATATCGTGTAGTATTGTTTCGATTTAATAACGAGACGCGGAGTTATCCATTTTTATTGGCCTACCTGATTGAAAAATCTTGTTACAAAAAATTAATTTAAAACAGTAACTTTTAATGAATATAGAAACTTTATATTTTTTTTATAACAAATATTTTTATAAGTAAAAATTTAACATTGCTAATACAACAACAGCAGCCACAACCTACCTACTACTACTACTACAACAACAACAACAACAACAACAACTACTACTACTACTACTACTATTACCAGTATTACCACTACACATGTGTGCGTGTGTGTGTGTGTGTGTGTAACACAACTTAACATTAGAATAGTCAAAAAATACGAGTGCCTCGTAACAATGGTCACAATAATATAAGAGCGTGACTGTTTGATCCTTCCATTCAATATCCTTTATTAAACCGTGCACTACACGCACACACACACACACGCACATACACACGCACACACACACATATATATAATTCATATGTATATATATACACGCACACACACTCGCACACATACACAAACATACACAAACAAGCAGGCGCACACGTACATGAATGTGTATACGTATTGAATAGTGTATAATTTCTAATCGATTGAAAGGGTTAAAAAGTAGGAGATGAGAATATCTATTTGGAGAGGAAATTGAAGAAGAATTAGAAAAAGAAAGAAAAAAAGAAAAAAACAGGGAAACAGAAAGCAAAAGAGAGAAAGAGAGAAAGAGAAAGACAGAGAGAGAGAGAGAGAGAGAGAGAGAGAGAGAGAGAAAGAGAGAGAAAGAGAAAGAAAAAAATAAGAAAAATGAAACGTGCTTGTATATAAGGAAGTAGAAAAAAGAACGATCGAACAAAAGAAGATATTGAGAGATTGAAAAAAATAAAGAGAGAGAGAGAGAGAGAAAGAGAGAAAGAGAGAGAAAAAAAGAGAGAGAGCAAGAGAGAGAGAGAGAGAGAGAGAGAAAGCCCGCGAACTTCCGTTTGTTTAATTTAACCTGAAGCTGCTTCCGTTGTGAAAATAATGAACACGCCAGCTAGCAAACCTGCGCCCTCCACTTCTTCCATTATTATTATTAATATTAATAATAATATTATTATTATATAATATAATAATAATAATTATTATTATTATTATTATATTTTAAATTAATAGGATTTTATAATTATTTCATTATTGATATTTGGTATTTGGAGTTGGAAAATAGAAGGATGTTCTCATTATTATTATTATTAGACGTAATAGTAGTAGTAGTATCATCATCCTCATCATCATCCCCATCATCTTTTTCTTCGTTTTCATCATCGTCATCAGTCTTGCCGGAAGTTACGTCATGACACTTGAGAGATATCGATCGTGGGAAAATGACAAACAAAAAAACTCGAGGGAAAAAAAGCAGCTATCGACAGGTGACACTCTTGATAATGATGGTGATGTTGTTGGCGATGATGATGATGTTGGCGATGATGATGATGATGAGGTTGGCGACGATGATAGTGATGATGATGTCAATGGTATTGACTTTATTTCGATTTTGTTGTTGTTAAAAATTTGATTAAGTGATTCTTTTCACTTAAATGTCGTTCATCTCATTGTTCGGAATTGAACTGAGAGTTCAAACTCTACGCATTTGTATGTAGCCAGTGGCGGATCTAAGTGGGGGTAGAACGGGGAAAGCCACACTAATTTTGGCCACACTACCACAAATCTTGCCCTACGAAAAAGTTCTCTAGATCCGCCGATGTATGTAACATCCCTGCCGTACGATCTCTTATCGATTAAGATGGTCATAGTCTGGATATATAAAGGTTCATTTAGTCTGTTATAGTTCATTTATTGTAATTACAATATTTTTTATCGCCAATTAACTAAACAAAATCTGAGAAAGCCAGAGTTTTGCGGTTGGAGACGGATGTTTCTCATATGGTAAAAACATTCGAAAGAATTTAGACTCGTTGATTGTATATGTAACAAGAGTTGATGATTCGTTGACGAAAAATTTTTGAGTTTGGGTTACGTTAAATTCTTTGGCCATTTTTAAGCGGTGCTTAAAATTAGGTTTTGAGTTGTTTTGTATAATTAATTGAGTTTGAATTGTTTTTTCAAATAGTTTTGTATAAAAAATTAAGTTTTGAATTGAGTTGAGTTTCTGTATTCTGAGTGTATTTTGAGTGTGTGTTTGTGCGTGTGTGTGTTTGTTTGTATGCATGTGTGTTTGTGGGTGTGTGTGTTTGTATGTGTGCTTGTGTAGATATAAGTGTTTGTATGTGGGTGTTTGTGTCTGCGTGTCTGTATGTGTGTTTGTGTAAATATATATGGCAATGTGTTTGAAAACTAGTTTTCTTTTTTTTATTTGATTTAAGTAAACAGAATCCAATTCAAACATTTGTTTAGTAGTAATTTGGGTCAAAATTTATAATGATTAAATTAATTTGGATGTATTAATACTAATGGTTTATTTATTGTTTGGCTTTAGTTAACTAAATAAATAAATCGTTTAAATAATAAGACAAATGAGTAAATAATTGATTAAGCAATTATTCAATTAATCTAAATAATCTAATTAACTAGGTAAAATTAATTTAAATTCAAAAAGTAAGTAATATCAAATTATTACAAAAAATAAATCCTAAAACTTAACCTTAATCTTCGAAATTCAAATCAGAAACACTACACTAACTAACTTGACCTAAAAAAACACGTCCAAATATGAAACTTTACGTAACTCCCTATGGAGTTTTACAACCCCCGATCTAGAGTTCTAGAGAGACCATCTTTGAGAGCGTCACCCGAGCTGTCCTTAGCAAATTTCAATCTGGACCAATCCAACTTCGGTGTCTCTTGACGGTTTGATAGGAGTTAACCCGATTACGATCGATAAGAACGCATATCTGCTGTTGCTTATCAGGCTCTCTTGTTTAGTCTGTAAGGTTAGGTGAGGAATTTTTATTATTTGATGAATATTTCGTTAATTTATTCTCAGTTAATCAAATAAAGATAAATTGAAAAGTGTTAGTAGGTTAGTTCATCATTAAAAAATTAAATTTAATTTGAACTGAAGAAACCATTTTCAAATTATAAAAATAATCAATAAACAAAAGTTAGCGGACCTTATCATTATACAATGGCTTTCCAGCCACACTATGTACAACATCGCCAGGTGGAGCGTACACTAACACGGCAAAATATTCCACATTCTCGAAACTCATCCCCAAACTGACTAACTCAGCCACTGAAAGATTTTTACTATCACCACTTGTGAACTCTATTCTCGCATTGTACAGAGTATTGTTGTAGCCGAATAAGGCTTTTTTGATACTATTCTTGGAATAAAGGTAAGTGCCATTTGTCGCCGTGAAAGTTGGTTCTGACGCTGGCATGTAGTTCGCGGTGGCGTCGCGTGGCCTGCAAGCTGAGTAGGAGTGGCGGTAGTTAGTACCATTTTTATTTAATGTTTATTAATAATGATATTTATTATTTTTTCAAATTAATATTTATTTCACGAAATTTCTTTTTAAAATGTTTGTTTGAGAGATTGGACTGATTTTAGTTTTTTTTATTTTTATGAAATATGTTTATTAACGAGGTCAAATTTTATTTCATATTGAAAAAGTAAATGATTACTTTCTGTAGTAACTGCTACAGCAGTGGATGTAGCAGCAGAAGTAGTAACTTCATCAGCTACTGGCTGTTGTTGCACGTTTTTGGTGGTAGTAGGAGTATTTGAAGATTCGGTTGTAGTAGCGATTGGATTTGGTAATGTTTGGATGGATGCGTTATTACTATTATTATTATTCGTCTTCAAAGTGGTTACTGGAAAGGAGAGTGCGTTTGTTCATTTGTACTTGTGGTTTAGAGGTGAGCATGGAAGTGTGTGTGTGTTTGATAAAGAAAGAGAGAGGGAGGGGAAGAAAGAAAGAGAAAGAAAGAGTAAGTGTGTGTGTGTGTGTGTGTGTGTGTGTGTGTGTGTGTGTGTGTGTGTGTATACAAGTAAACTTGCTAAACTTGTTAATTATTTAATAATTTAATTTAGTAATTGATTAATTAACTAATTAGACACACCTGTAAAAATCGCCACAGTTATTACGGCAGCCACAAAAACGCTTGCGGCACAACTGCACACGATCACGCAAAGACTATACTCTCTCTCCATCGTTTTCTCCTCCTTTTTCTCTTCCTCTTCATCCATTAGTATATCTCCATTTAAATTGGCTTCCATTTTTTGTAAGAACTGTTTAAGCAATTAATTATTACTTGCTGATGGTTCAACTTACTGACTTGCTTTATTTAATTACTCAATTAATTGAATTAATTAAATGATGGCAATTATCCAATTAGTTTATTTATTCATTCGTTAATAAATTAATTATTTAAATTTTTAAGTAATTTACATAATAATTTATCATAAAAACACAGCAAAAAATTCTTAACAATGGACTGAATTAGAAAATTTGTTAGGTTCATTCGTTCGTCTGAGAGTAAAAAAATAATTTGGGCAAACATTCACACAAACAAGTTTTTATGTGTTTTAGGTTTTCATGTTTGTATTAGCATTTGGCTCTTGTCCAATATAATTTATATATATAATTATATATATATAATTAAATATATGTAATTATATCTATAATTACTTATATATATATAATTTTATTGAAAGAGAGAGAGAGAGAGAGAGAGAGAGAGAGAGAGAAAGAAAGAGAGAAAAAAGAAAGTTAAGTACGTCTTTATAAACTTATTTCGACCGTCCATAAAACTGTAACTATATTTAGAGGCTGTCATCATCGTCGTCATCATCGTCGTTATTATGTTTACTTTAAGGGCGGCTTGATAGCCTAGTGGCTAAGGTCGCCTGATGATGTATCGCTGTAACCGGGTTCGAATATAAACTTCGGAAGAGTGTAATTGACCTTTAACCTTTTTAACCTCTATCCAAATTATTATCTTTATTATCATCCAACATATGCCTTGCTTTCATAAACGTAAATGAATGAATTAAAAAGTAAAGTGACTAATAAACAATTGAATGTATGAATGAAATGTGAATGAACTTAAAATAAACGCATGAATGAACGAATGAATGAAAGAACGAATAAACGAATGAATAAACGAACGAATGAATGAAAGAACGAAAGAAAGAACCAATAAACGATTGGATAAACCGAATTGTCTCAGCTTAGCCACAACAGAAAAGAGAACACAGTTGGGTTAGTTGATCATTTATTAAAATTTCTAAAGAGTTATGTCATAGAAAGCATTGTTAAATGTTAAATTAATTAAGTTCATGCATAGTCTAAAAAAATGTTTAAAACCATCGTTTTTTCATTTATAACTTTAACAACACAATATCCAACCTGAATAAATCAATTTCGCAATAGACTATAGTTCAATTCTTATAACTGAATTTTACTCAAGTGCATTATGTGTTGAAATCCAACTATGTCTTTTAAGAATAATTTTAAGTAATTTGCTTAATTGTACTACATTTTGTTTTGTAGTATTTTAACTTACCATCTTTAGAACAAATGCTAAATACTGGCACATAATAAATTTCCAATTTTTGGTATGGATTGCATTTTATTAATTTAATTTATTCGTTCGTACATTAGTTCATTCATTCATTCATTGGTTCGTTCGTTCGTTCATTCATTCATTCATTTGTTCGTTCGTCCATCCATTCATTCATCCATTCATTCATTCAATTATTTATTTGTTCATTCATTCGTTTGTTCATTAATTCATTTTTTATCCATTTATTCATAAATTCATTTATGAACAATAAATTATGAATGAATCACTAAATAAACGAACGAACGAACGAACAAATAATAGAACAAACAAACAAACGAGTGAACAAATAAACGAATGAACGAATGAATAATAATAACAACAACAATAAAAACAACCAAGATCTTCTTCCTCTAGATAATTTCAATCTTAACAAGATCTATTGTAATGTTTAACGCAGGGTCTTTTGGCATGAGACTGATTGAAAGTGTATTAAACGTGTACCTTCCATTGGTTATTAATGTTTCTGGGATGCTCTGTGTTAATGTCATTGTAATGTGATGTAATTATTGTATTGTAATGAAGAGATTATTGTATTGTAATAATGTGATTATTGTTTTGTGATGATGCGACTGTTGTCTTCTAATGATTTGACCGTTGTATTGTAATGACGTGATTATTAATGTCACGTGTCTGTAACGTTATTGTCGTGATGGAACTTTTGTAACGTAATTTAAGATGATTGTTGTCAGCGTAATGTTGTAATGTGATTAATATTATTGTGATGATGTATTTACTACTGATTTGTGTTGATTTATTGTGATTGTAATGTAATAGAGTTATTATTATCATTAATGATTTGATGTTTTAGCTAATGTGACTGTAATGTAATGTATGATGGCTCAATGACTAAAAGCGTCTGGTCTTGCTGCTGCAGTGACTGGGTTCGAATGCAAAGAGAAATCCCAGCCTATCATATGCAATGTGTATGATGCGTGGTTTTCATGCATATTCAAACACGCTGTGTGTATTTGTCGTTGAAATCTCTGAAGCAAACGCAAGAGAGAGAGAGAGAGACAAAGAGAGAGAGAGAGAGAGTAACCTTTAACTTTCAAACTTTAATGATGTGACTGGAAATTTAAATAGCATCTCTTATCTGAACAGTGAATGAGATCATTTTATTAAAAAAAATAGGTAATTAAAACCAAAAATCTTAGTTGAATAACTAACTAGATTATTATACTTTGGCACGTTTATAGTCATAAACTCGACGGCTCCAGTTTGAGGATGAGTTACGCTGATATGGTAAAACATAACGTTTACCATGCTCATGTATAAGTTTACTAGAGTAACAGCTGAAGTACCGTTACTGAATTGTATAACAGGATTGCTGGGCGGCTTGAACACGTAGGCAGTATTTGATCTCACAAAGCTTTGAGACGATTTTAGCTCATATGAGGATGTACTGTCTTTTGCTGTGTGTATACAATGTGGTTGATTATATTGTAATTAATATAGTTATTTTAGTTTATAATTATTGTAATTATTATGAATAATAATTAAAATAAAGGTTGGATTTTAAAGTGGGGGAGGAGTAAAAATTAAAGTTAAGTACCCCCTTATTGACTACACCTATAAAGCACCCACTAAAAAGATAAAACTTGTTTTAGTACAGCGCTAATTTATGATTACAATTTATTATTTAAAATTTATTTCACGAAAAATGTTAATGCCGTACGGATTATTGTAGTCATCGTTGTTGTCAAGGTTGAAGATGTGGTTGATACAGCTGATGTGGTTGATGCAGCTGATGTGGTTGAGATTGTGGTAGTAGATGCGGTTGATGTAGTTGACGCGAGTGAAGATGTAGTTGATGCAGCTGATGTAGTTGATGCAGCTGATGTAGTTGATGAAGCTGATGTGGTTGATGCAGTTGACGTGATTGAAGATGTAGTTGATGCAGCTGATGTGGTTGATGCAGCTGATGTGGTTGAAAATTTGGTTGATGTAGCTGATGTGG